TCTTCTTCTTCTTGTACTTCTTCTTCTTGAAAAAAGTTATAAACATCTACATCTCTTCAAAGTACTAGAGAGTATTGTGGGGACCGGATTTCAGATTGTAGGCGGAGACTTTAGAAGTATAGAATTGAAGAGGACATCAGAAGGAACCGGAAACCAAATCCTGAACAGGAAACAATGGGTAAATATTTACTCCAGTTCAAAAAGTTGCAGATTACTTTGCTTTTTTTCCACTCTTCTAGGACGACTGCAACTTTTTGGCGATAACATATAAATATATATATATATATTATCGAACACGATTTATTTACCCTATATTTTTGATATTACAATTAGCGAAAAGAAATTTAAGAAAAGTAAAAAAAAAATTAATAGCATTGTTTCATAAAGTTTAACAATATTTCGACAATATTCCATTTCCATTTCAGATAAATTACTACAATTATTATTATTATTATTATTATTATTATTATTTCATTGTATTTCTGTCGTATGCACATTTCCTTCCGAGAGCCAACCAAAGATTTAAGGTCAGAAATGGTTTCATAAGATTACCCATTGATCATTTTTATAGGGATGATGTTCATATATATATATATATATATATATATATATATATATATATATATATATATATATGTGTGTGTGTGTGTGTGTGTGTGTGTATCAGCTTCTTTGTTACGGGCAGTGTATTGACCATGAAGAGGCTTAACTTGCCATCGTTTATTATGATTATTGTATTATTTCTTTTGTTTTCTGATGTAAACTCATTTCTGTGTCCCGTCTATGGCATCATGGCATTTTCAAGGATTATTTTATTTATCAATAGTTTATCTTTGCAACCATATGAACCTCTTTGGACACCTCAAGGCGGTGTAATGGTTAGCAAGCTTGCCTCGATAGGACAATTACAACTGAGTAGTGAGTTCGATCCTCAATGGGTGCCCCATACTTACGTCCTTGTGCCACATCTGAGCTACGCTTGGAAAATCGCATAGGGCATTACGAGGCGGTGTAATGTTTAGCAAGCTTGTCTCGCTAGAACAATTACAAATGACGCCGACCAAAACCGGGGTGGGTTTGTCGGGGTTGGAGGTTCCTCGATAATTCTAAATCCATATCCACTTCTTTTATTTTTGGTCAGGAATTTTCCACTCATTTCCATTTTTTGGAAGTCTTCTCTTACTCCCACCTTCTCTTATTCTCATCTGGATATCTCACCATACTTCAGAGGGGCGTCAACGGTTCTCCCCACTTCTTCGTAGCAACTTCTCATACCTATCCTCTAAATGGGCGGCGGCGGCTCTCCCCCTTGCGTCACGTGATCACCTCCCCCTTGCGTCACGTGAGCACCTCCCCCTTGCGTCACGTGAGCACCTCAGCCTGGCCCTCGTTGTCATTCGGCCAATGGCGTCCAGCCGGGTAGGTGTGATCCGGCTGGCTTTGTTTTAGGAAAAAAAAATATATCTTGCTCAAAAAAAATTATCTTTTTCTTTTCCTTTTTTTTTTCCTTAATCGCAGATCTCATCCGCCAATGTCACCTGGGATCTATCAATGCCAATTATCAAGTGGGGTAGTCGTCTAGCGAAACACAGTCGACCGTCGTCTCGAAAAAACAGTTCCATTGTCCTAGCCGTATTTGCATTCTTGGTGCCAATTTCTGATAACATAGTTTTATTTTCACAACCGAATTCTAACACCCATAGATGTCTTGTCAAAACGGCCAAGACATGACCCAGGGTTGGCTTACTGTGCGGTTAGCAGACGACCTATTAAATCCTTTCCCGACAATATTGTTTGCCCCTTCTGACACAGTTAATTTTTCTTATCTATCCAAAGCTCTGTACTCACCTGTTCTTTGTCAGACAGTTCTACGACACTGGTGGTCAGAATTTTCACCATCTTTTCCATTATCAAAATAACATTGTCGAATTGTCTCGGAGTTTTAGCTAGCCGGCCTGTGGTTTGTTAATTAGATGTTCGCCAGCATTAAGTGGCTGTTATCTATCCCCGATAACACAAGTCCACCACCAGAACATAGTCGATTTTCTTATCCATTTAGAATTTTTCTGCAATGGTAATGAAACCTTTCACCATTTGCTACTTATCAAAATGACATTGTCAATGTCCACGGTCGTGTGTGGCTTCTTTTATAATCTAAGCTTAAGTCTCGCCTCTCTTTTCCTTTCTTTCCTTTCTCTTTTTCCTTTCTTTTTTTTTCTTTTCGTGCCCCTAAATCGTGTCACAATCCTCCCTTAACCTATTTGTCATTTACTCGTAAATGACGCCTAAACCCAAATGGTGTCACATAAAGATTTCAACTGTAAATTGACGGGAGACTTTGCCATTGATAGACAATAAATACCGAAGAGGAAATCTCACTAGAATAATTACTATGAAAATATTTATCGAAAAAGCATAGGGAAGCTACATTTCGACGTCGGGAAAGTGACTGAATGCGAGATGCCAGGTCAGAACTAATAACATTGCAGATTATTATTTATCTTTTACCAAAAATCTCTAAATGCATAGCAGAAGCACCAGTAAAGACGTGACAGCAATATTTCATGAACGATCGAATGGTAGACTTATAAATATTCCGAGAAGGTCTCTCTAGTACGAAAATTTGAAACAACATCCCTAGAAGCAAGCCTGGGAATCTATTCCATATAATCTTTCCACCTAAAGTGAAACGAAAAAGTTAGTCGAGAAGTCTCAAGGCGTCAATCTCATGGAGGTTAGAATCAGTCATGCTGATTGATGCTAAATAAGATTCTCTGAGGCGTTTAAAACAGATCAGTTTTATTTTGGGTACGTTTATATTAACAAACCATTCTTGCTCCAGTTATAGATAATTTTTTTCACTCATCTGCCTATTTGACCATATTCAGCCAACTAGGCTTATCACAGGTTGCCTACATAGACACTGAGTTGAAATATTATGATACCACGAAGGTCTTTAATGAAAAATAAGAGCAACTAGGGAAACTTGAATTACTGCAAAAAGATTTAGGAGAAGCCAACATACATATCGCGATTTCATAAGAAAGATTAAATCATATTAAACAAATTCATCATGAAATAATATAACCTATCAACCTGTAAAAAAGATCGACTCTGTTTTCGAGATAACCCGTTCTTTACTATTCTTATCTAAAGCTTGATAACTGCTAATATATCAGCAATTGACCTACAGAAGAGAAAGCCATATTGCTTATCGTAAAGAATACTTTGCGATGTGAGATGCATAATCAATTCAGAGTTAATTAGAACCTCTAAAAATTTGCCAAAAGGAATTTTCTATATAAAGTAATTTTTCTTTTAGAAAGACGGGAATATAATTTCTGGCTTGTGTTAAAGGTCACCAATTTTTTTTTTTTTTTTTTTTTTTTGTTATTACGTTTCTATTAGATGCATTTCTTGATATATATACAGGTTTCATTTCGTTTTCAAAGATCACAGGGACCGTGGCGTCTGACACGCCGTTGTTTGTAGTTGGAAAACAAATCCAAAAATAGATGAAAAGGGGATTGGGAAATATAATAAAAGACTCAAGAAAACGGAAATCATTGAAATGAAGAAGTCGATTAAATACAAAAGAAAATAGAAATTTCGAAACGAAATTATTAAAGGGTTTTTGTTAATGGCAAATAAGAATAAAATCTATGAACTAAGAATATAAGAAGAAAGCCGAAAAGAAAAATTCGATAAATTAATTGGGAAAGAAAGAAGGCTGAAGGAAAATGATGAATATTAGATGAAGAAAAAAGAAGTTATGAAATAAACCGAAAGAAAGAAAGAACAGAGAGATATGAGAAATGAAGAAGAAAGGGGTTAGAATGAATGCATGAAAGATTAGATAAGAAATAAAAATAAAAGAAAGCAAGGAAGGAAAATAAGGAAAGAGAAACACGAGAGTATTTTGAAGAGTAAAGAATAAATGAATAGAGAAGGAAAATAGAAAAGAAAACTAAAAAAAATACAACACAAAAAGAGGAGGAAAGAAAGCAAAGTGTCAAATTACGCTAAAAAGAAAAGAAAAGAAAAAAGAAAAGAAAAAGGAGATGAGACAGAAAGGAAAAATAGAATGATGCAGAAAGAACTGAGCTTATGTAGTGGAAAGAAAAATAAAGAAAGTATGAAAGAGAACAGCAATATAGAAAGTAGAGAACTGAAAGAAAAAGAAAGAAAAGGGAAGAGATAAAATCGAAATCTTAAGGAAGAAAGAAAAGGGGGGGGAAGTAGGAAGGATAAATGTAAAAAAAAGTGGAAGAAAAGGGATAAAAGGGAAGAAATATGTATACAAATGTATGTCAGAAAAGGTACAGAAAAAAACGTAAAACATAAACTAAAAAAACGTGTCTCTAAAAAAATAAATAAATAAATAAGGGAAAAATTTGATTGAATTAAAGTTTGGAAAAAGGATAGCAAATGAAGTTTCCCCCTGGAGAGAAAAAAGATTAAGATCAACATAAAAAAAAAGATTAAGATCAACATAAAAAAAAAGATTAAGATCAACATAAAAAAAAAGATTAAGATCAACATAAAAAAAAAGATTAAGATCAACATAAAAAAAAGATTAAGATCAACATAAAAAAAAAGATTAAGATCAATAAAAAAAGATTAAGATCAACATAAAAAAAAAGATTAAGATCAACATAAAAAAAAAGATTAAGATCAACATAAAAAAAAACGAACAATAATGCAAAATATATGAGAAGTGGACGAACAATTTTGACAGAAAGCGAGAGATGAAAAAAAAGCGATTAAAAGACCCGTAGACAGAGAAAGAGAAAGACAGACAGACAAGGAGAGAGGGAGAGAGAGAGAGTAAGAAATTAATAATGAGAAAGAGAGTCGGGAAAGAGAGATGCAGAAGAAAAGGTTGTTATTAATACGGGGATTTCCTATTGATAAAAGTTTCGGTATCTTGTCAGCCATCTTGACAGTCCTCATTCTCAGAATGAATCCTGCCAACATAGTTCAGTGCAGTTTTCCATTCGATGTTTTTTTTACCCCCACCGTTCTATATTTGCATTATTTCCTCTTCCTCTCCCATCTACACCCACCATCTATTTCTGAATTCCCACTACCCGACCAATCCCGTTCTCGATACACGAAAACGCACATTCTAAATAATGATATTCTGAGAAAGTGACATTCACTGAAAAAAGCTACAAATATTCACATGCACGGAATGGTTGTTGAATATAGTATATTTCGCAGTTACTTTATATAAGAGGAGGTACAGAAAAGTTCTTGTCACGACGAAATTCTGAGGGACAAGGTACTGGGAAGTGTGAAAGGTCAATAGATATTAGGCAATTTGCGTGCATATATATATATATATATATATATATATATATATATATATATATATATATATATATATATATTTATTTTATTCGAAAACTATAACATGAATATGTTATAAAATCACTACAAAAATAGCCATTTTCTTTCAACACCACTGGTGTCTTTTCAACATCATCACTTCACAAGAAAACAGAGGTGTTGAAATAAAATGGCTACTTTGTAGTGATTTTATAACATATTTATGTTATTTATTTTCGAATAAATAATTATATTTGCTCTACCCTTATATTTGCTCTACTTTACTCTTTTAAGAATAGTAATTGTTGGCTATTGGAATTTATTCTGTATACACCAATCCTATACTTGTATGTATATATATATATATATATATATATATATATATATATATATATATATATATATATATATATATATATATGTGTGTGTGTGCGCGTGTGGGCGTGTGTGTGTGTGTGTGTGCATTGAAGAGCCGTTGAGCCGAGTTAGAATTCAATTCCAGTCGAATACATTACATTCCCTTACGTGCGAATACCCTTTGGAAAGGTATTGGTATGAACTAAATATATCGAAACTCAACGTGTTAAAAATTAAAATACCCTTAGTGCAAATGCAGATTTGAGAGAGGAAAAAGAAATCGAAAACACACTGTCTTCTTATATTCTTAATTGCGTCGGTCTTCTTTTGCATGAGCGCATAAGTCTGCCATTTCACAAGCCCTCCATCCTAATGAGAAATGACAGAGATTCGCCAACGATTTCTTTCAATTCTCGTAGAACAAAGGGGTGAGTGAAACTATCCGACCCAGAGATGCCGTTCGCCGTGTCCCATATAGGCATTCATTCTCCATTTGTCCGCTTTCTATCAAAACCAGCTGCCCGTGATAGACCTCGCTCGCTGGAAATGCAAGGGCAAAAGTCTCTCCTTCGATGACACTGAATCCTTCTTGAGGGTGATCCATTCACGTTATTGACATGAATGCTCATCTCAATTGAATATGACGCTGTCTTCGACAGCGGGCCTTCTGACTCGAGATGCTAAGCAAAACACCAATTGCTTATTACTCTGCCTGCTTTTTATCATTCTATGGACTACTGTGTTATTTCTATGCTGTCTTTCTTTATAAACCAGCATTTCGTTTTCGTTTCCGTACTTCAACTTCCGCGTGCGAAACCTTTTAATTCTTGGTATTATCAGTATAGAGATGGCATCGGAATAGTAGTGTGATCGAGCAGGAAAACTGTATTGCAATACTCTCATAATACTGTAAATGCATGTTTTGAAAACGAGATTATTTTAAACTATTATCCTGGCTTTTACGTCATATCGAATATCGATTTCTATGTGGTAAAAGCAGACGTAGATACAGAAATAATTCGTGAATATATGACTCGAACAGCATTTATTTTAACCAACGAATATTTCATTTCAATTTTAATTTAATCATATTTCTATTAAAGTTAATCAGTGGCGAATACTAATCAGGTATATCTGCTATTAGCGTTTGATCTTTTCTTAGCCCGTTTGCCACACAAGGCAAAAAAAACTCGCCCGAGTTACTAAGTCACTGACAATCAAAAGAAGAAAAGATGGATTATTGGAGTTTCTATATACACAATTGCAAATATATATATATATATATATATATATATATATATATATATATATATATATATATATATATATATATATATATAAAGAGGTTGTAGTGGTTCCAACGAGAGAAAAGTATGTATATTAAAAAGAAGAGAGGTGCTGCAAACGTTTTTGGTTGTCGTGTGGATTTTTTAAAAATTATGCTTCATTTTCCATAATTTTACTACACGTGTTTCTGGTCTCGCGACCGTCTTCAGGTAAAAGCGGAGATTTCCAACAATTATTAAAAATAATTAATTTTTTTTTTCCTTATGTTTTTCACTGTTAAATATTCTCGATATGAGACATTCTCTGTTTTTGTGTTAGTAATCCGAATATATATATATATATATATATATATATATATATATATATATATATATATATATATATATATATATTCTGCAAAACAAAAAATTAATGGTTTCGGAACCAACGAACGCGGGATCTACCTTTAAAACTTTTCAAATTTATTACAAGGTATAGAGTAACTGAAAATAAATTACACATGCCTATATACCGAATTTACATTCATTTACAATATTTGTGTACTGTAGTGGGTGTTTTTAGGTAAGGAAAGAAAGTGCTTTAAATTAACGGAAAAATGGCTTTAACGAACGATACCCCCCATTAATCCGTTAAAATGAAGTTACAGTATATATATATAAAACTAGGTAATCCGTATGGGTAAATCCAAGGAGGAAAAATCCAGAGTTCAATGTAAATCCAGTGCAAATAATTTAAATAAAAACAGACCACTTTAAGGTTGTATGTAATAAATTATTTCACCAGAGCTCTTTTAAAGGACTGTGGATCATCAGACTTTACTTCGAAAGGTTGAAACAAAAAATGAAAAGAAATTTACAAATTTTTGACGGGCCATATTAAGCATATGTAAATTGACCAAGTGAGGAAGTGAGAGAGAAGACATCAGTGAGTTAGATGTAATTTAAAATTTTATACTTTATTTGAAATATGTTATGTATATTTAGTCGTGATTAAGTTTAGCGGACGGCAATAACTGTTGAATACCGGGAATATTGAATATTTTTGGCATGGGTTTCCACGAACCTGCACGCGATGGAGTGTCTCCTGCTTTTTTTAACTAACCATCAACAACGGAACAGAACTCGAGCTTAAAGCTGTAAAAATTATCTATGCCACTGCTAACAATGTTATGTTCCAATCTTTACGTATTTCTAATACTATACAAATTTCAATGCCACACATCTACAAAACTGCTGACATGTTCGATACAGAGCTGAAAACTTAACCTCCATTAATTAGACCATCTTCCCGAAAACGATTGAAATGTATATACTATAAAATGGTAATGGTGATAGAGATGTTATACGTTTTCTTAAACCAAAATATACAACATTCATTAACAGAGAAGTTAGCATTGCCGACGCATTAAATATATAATGCCTTTCGGTTAAAAACGGTATCGATCTTTTTTTGTATTATTGATAGGGGTTTTCTTTCCATAACTTTTGTTTCAAATGGTGAGGAAAGTCAACAAGTTGCTTACGCCGACATTATTTCTTTTTTGTATCTGCTATCCACGTTTGTTGTGTTTGTTATCGGAAAGATGCTTATTCTGTCATTTGGTAAAATTCTTTGCGATTTGTAGCGCTATTCGTAGAATTATTTTGTTCTCTATAGACTTACATGGTTCAGTCACTCGAAGTCTTTCTAAGAACGGAACTAACAAAAACGGCTGTAAGGAAAAATTGAGCGGATACGTATGGGATACAGTGTGACCCGGATATAAGAGAGTTGTCGGGACCAGAGAAGAAGTCTCTTATATCCGGGTTTATCTTATATCCGGGTTTGGTCTATTTTGTTTAGGTAAGTATGGGCTCTAATTTGGGACCAGAGAAAATCTCTCTTATATCCGGGTTTCTCTTATATCCGGGTCTCTTATATCCGGGTTACACGGTACCATTAAACCAGCTGCAAATGCCAAGGTTAATTCACTCGCAATTTTTCTATCAGTGCTAAATAAATATAGTTTTGTATCGGGCGTTCAGGTGTAATTTTCGTCGCATACAAAACGCAGTACAAAACGAAGCAAAGATAAATACAAAAAAAAAAAATAGAAAGAAGATCATAATATGCCAGAGCGGGTAGATAATTTCTTCATAACCAATGGATGGGTAAGACTTCAGTCCATGTGAACAAAAGTCTGCAAAGTGTTAAGTCCGTTAACATAAAAAGTTTTTTTTTTTTAAATCAATTCACCCCAAGCAAGGCGATGTATCCACTAAGACGCAAAAGGCTACTGATGATGAAAGAGAGTAGAATGAAGGAAGGAGAAAACGTTAATGAAGAAAAAGGACCATACAAAAACACGATTCAAGGAGAAGCAAAATAAAGATTGATACTCCATTTATACTTCTGTAGATTGTAGATGACTTGAAAGCAAGAATCCGGAAAAAGAAGTTGGAGATAAACAGCATAGAACAGACAGTTAAATCCTCATAAGCTGATAACTGTTTATAATTGATGAGACCGAGCTTCAGGTAACAAATAGCAATGCTCATCAACGCAATTAAACATGAATATTTAGCAAAGGCCCAGAGTAGGTTCGTTAGGGCGGTTGAAAAATGATTGAAACCAAGATGTCAGCTTGAATTACATCAAAAAATTTTTCAAGTAAATTAGATGGGGCTTCCTGCATGAGGACTTGTATGATTAATTAACATCTAAATAAACACACACTCTGACATATGAGTCTATATATTTGTGTATGTCTGTGTGTGCATAGTAAAATAAGGATAAATTAGATATATATATATATTATCGCGTTTTGGCCTTTAGGACTTCATCAGAAAGCTTACGTTGATGCGTGTATACAAGCGCATTTCTATTTCAATTTTTTTATATATTTTTTTCGGATTAAAGTTTGGCCACTTTAATTCATTTTTGTCTTCTTTTTTTTATAATTTTATCACTGTTTTTATTATTCACTTGCTTATAACTCCACATTATCCACCTTCCAAAACTTGAAGGAAAAAAATACAGAAATATTTTACATGTATAGAACATTTTTCTATCTATCTATCTATCTATCTCTATCTATCTATCTATCTATCGTATATAGTCGCATATAAGACGCTTATATTTATAGAGCAATTTCTTTTTGCCAATGTCCAGAAAGGAGTTCAAGGCTCACTAACAAATACTGAAAACCAACAATGAGTCATTAAAACAACATAAGGAAAACTTATTCCTTTTAAAAATGTATTAGTTTTATTTGTCTGAAGAATATCCCAAGACCGTAACACGTGTAGCAGAAATATAAAGCATAATATATATATATATATATATATATATATATATATATATATATATATATATATAAATTAATTAATTGATTTAAAATATGGTTATTTTTCGCTACAGTTCCAACCATGTTTCAAAAATAGAAGCTAAACCCCTAATTTAATTTTGCAATTAAATTAAAAGCATGAGTTCCATTTCATCTTCAAGCGAATTTTGGAGTAACTTTTTTAATGTTTTAATTTAATTGCAAAATTAAATTAGGGGTTTTTAGCTTCTATTTTTGAAACATGGTTGGAACTGTGTAGCGAAAATAACCATATTTTAAATCAATTAATTTATAATATTAATGCTCTGTAAATTTACATTGAGCACTATTTTGTAAAAATAAAAATATCTATAAGAACACCGGATTTTATATCTTACTGTTCTTTTTTTTATATATATATATATATATATATATATATATATATATATATATATATATATATATATATATGCACTAAAACAAATCCATATTTAACTAAAAAACGTTTGTGGTTTCTCTCTTTTATAAAATATAAATTTCTCTCTCGTTGGAACGACTATAACATTTTACTTACATATATATATATATATATATATATATATATAATAATGGGCACTGAGTTCCATGCCGACTGCTGACCATCTGTTTCATATTAGACGCAATCTTCTGGCGATATGTGATGGATAATAGCTCGTTTATTTATATGTGATGGATGGTCAATAGGACATAATATGTAACAATTACAGTCATTTACGGTTTACTCTGTTGGCTTATTGAACAGGATGGGGCCGCAGTAACAAATCTTGTATTTACACACGCTCTATTATTAATATATATATATATATATATATATATATATATATATATATATATATATATATATATAAGTTAAAATATATTTTTATTATCTAAATATCTCTCTCTTTATATATATACACACACACACATATATATATATATATATATATATATAGAATAAGTTAAAAATATATTTTATTATCTAAATATCTCTCTCTCTTTATACACACACACACACACACACACATATATATATATATATATATATATATATATATATATATATATATAGATAGATAAAACTCTCATTTCGATTTCGAATTTCATGGAACCAAGCTTTCATTTTAAAAGACGACCCACTGAAATCAAGTGATAAGAGGGGTGAGGTTTTTATAGATTCAAACACACTTTTTTAGAAAATTGACCACGGAGAACATTCAAACACCCATACACATAGCCAACTGCATATTGCGAGTTCAACCTAACAGATTCACTTCTGTAAATATTAAACATCGTATTTTCCGAATACATTTTCATAATTGTGCTACAAGGATAAGAAATATTTGTCTAATTCTACATGAGTTTAAGAAAACTGCGAGTCACCATCAATGAAAAAAACAAAAAAAAAAAAAAAAAAACAAACTGAAAAGCAACCATGCATTCTTAATATTTCATAATGTTTCATACACTTTTTTCTAACCGATAGAAAATTTCTATTTGGAAATAAATTGCTTTCTTTGGTTAGAAATAATTTTCCTTCTAAATATATATTTATCGAACAAAATTTATTGTTATTATTGTCTTTATCATGATAATGATTATTATTATTATCATTTTTATTTTCTTTGATTTCTGGCGTTTACACATTTCTTTCCGGGTCCCGCCCAGGGACCTAAGGTTAGAAATGGCGCCATGACACTTTCCACTGACAAAAAAAAAATATATATTATTATTATTATTATATTTGATTTCTGGTGTGTACTCATTTCTTTCCGGGTCCCAACCAGAAACCTAAGTTCAGAAAAGACATAATGACATTCTCAGTGAGCACTTTTTGAGGAAAAATAGACAGAAAATACAAACTGAGATCACCCATATTTTCCATAGATAAAGCACTTTGTAAGGTGTGTTACAGTCTTTTGTATTTCTTTAAGGCATCGTCTACCAGGAATCACTTCAATGAATCTTTTCCAATCAATCTGAGGGTTCCAACTACAATTGGAGCGGTTGCTATCCTCATGTGCCACATTTGTCAGATTTCGATTTAAAGGTCCTTCAATTTTGATAGTTTTTTGAAGATCTTCAAAGATGCAGTCTGCAGCGACCACCATGTTAATAGCAAGACACATTTTTCTTTTCTTTTCGGTTTCTGAGAACAATATATTCGGAATTCTCTTTGATTGTTCTGTCTGTGTTTATTGTAAAGTTCTGTAAAATTCTTACAGTACCTATATCCGTAACTTTGTTTGGATGGTGTCCATGCATATTACTTGCAGTTTCTTTTCCGTAAATTGGCATATTCCAATGCAGATATTGGCACCTCTCTCGTGCCGGGTTTATATTCAGTGGCTGCAAATACCACGCAAATTGATAGCATTTTTCCTGTGCAGGAAAATATAAAACCATCAGTTTCAGCTTTTCTCCCTCGCCACTTTCGGCTATGGCGTCTGTCTATATCAGCTTGTTGCTTACGACAGAATATTGATCGTGAAGAGGTTTATCCTGCCATCGTTTCTGTATCTTGTCGATTGCATTTGCCTTTGCTTCATTTTTTAAGGTTGCATTTCTTCACCCACTTGAAACCCCATTTTGATCTTGTCCTGCCTTTATTATTGAATAAAGTTTTTCGCGTTATTTGACACAGGTCATCACTCAGTCTTCTGTAGTTTCCAGGTATCATTGATGAAGGCCAATTGTTGTAGTTTTGTCAGACAGTTCTAGTTGAACTAATCCTCTGCCCCCTTCAGATCTGGGTAGATAGAGACAATCAACATCAACCTTGGGAGGATGCATGTGATGGCAAATGAGAAGCTTTCTCATATTGGCGTCCATTCGCTTAATATCATCTACGGTACAGTAAAGGGTGTTTAAACTATTGCACTACAGGGACAGCCAATGTGTTTATTACTGATATTCTGTTTTTTTTTTTTTTAGAATTCAGTTCAGTATATAGTGCCAGAGGCACAGATCTGTAATATTCCTTTCTTTTTCTTTCATTTAGGTATGATGTATTCCATCACTTTCGCTAATTCTTAGGTACCTATAGCCTTCGTCTTGTTCCATTTCCCTCGTCTTTGTCGCAAAATCTAGAGCTAATGAGTGTTTCTAGTAATTCTCCTTTTCTTAAATTTTATTTTGTCCTTTTATTTCGAAGTCCATATCTATGAAGCATTATACATTATTGAGGATACTCTTCAAATCGCTGTCATTTTTGTCTAAAAGTTTGAGATCATCCATATAGAATATCTGGTTGAAGAATTTTGTTTAATTTGTATCCACAGCTATTATCATATTGTCAATGCTTAAGGAGAATTAAGGAGAGAAAAAACAAAAGAGGTGACAGGGAGCCTCCTTCAAAGAATCGTCGTCGGATATTCAGGCGATTCTGGATGGCAGTTCCTCTAGTGTGATTTAGGTATGATGTGGTTTTCCACATTCTCCTGCTGTGTCTAAGTAACTTTACTAATAACGAAGAGAGTTTGTACATTTCCAAAATCTTAATAATCCAGAATTTTGGCGCACTATGTCTTTACGGTAGTCTGTCTATGCTGTACTGAGATTTCGACCTGGTTTTCTGTAGTTTCCCAGGTTAATTTTGTTTATCAATAGTTGATCTTTTAAAATCATATGAAACTCTCCTGCATCCCTTATGTTCCAGAAGTAGAATGTTATTATCTTAGAGAAAATAATAAGTAAACTTCGTCAGGACAGACGTGAGCAATTTGTACGTGGTGAACGTATATGGTATTGGCTTATAATCTTTCGGATCATCTTTTTCACACGTTTTTCTCTAGAGAAATTCTGGGACTTCATTGAGATTACTAATAAACATTGATAAATTCTGTACAAGAGTTTTGTTGTTTGATCGCAGATGATATAACCAATTCTATATTTGGGATTTCGTTAGAGATTGCATATTAGTTTTGGTAATATTTTCCCATTTTTATAGCGGTTTATCCATCATTCGCTCTTTTTTCATTAGATCCACTATGCATTTGGGTTATATTTCTTTGGACAGCTCCAAATAATCTTCTAAAATTTCTAAACTTTATCAGCAGATGCTGTTTTTTTCATATGTATAACCGCTTTTTCAATTTCACTATAAAATTTCTTAAGGTCTTTTTGGAATATCTTATTTTGGCAATAGAACCTCCAACACATTTTTTACTGTCTTGTTTTCTGTTCCTTTTCCATTAGCTATGTCAACAAAGAGACATATTTTATCTTTGCGGTCTCTGATATTCTTATTTATTTAGATGTTTATTTTATATATGCGTATTATGTCTGTATAATGGCATTGTTGTTGTGTAGATGTCTTCAATATCAAGGAAAATATGTAAAGAGCAGAGTGCACCAATTACTAGCGAGAAGGTTTTAACATTTATTCTCCAGCTATGTTTGTTCACAATCTAGCAATCTCAACCCTCACTTCTGAGTAGCTTATGATCATTTCCATTTGTTTTGCATTCATGCTGTAGTCAGCAAATATGGTCACATCAATTATTATGTATTCAATTTTCAGTTGTATTGCGCGCGACTCTATATGGCATTTCGGGTTCAATCTCTATCTATTTGAATGTCGTAACACCATTTTTAGGACACGTTCTAAGCATATTTTTTGCAAAAATGTCAGTGCATATTAAAGGAATACTCGACCATGGCGTATCTGTACTCCTTCTGTGCACTCATTTACAGCAACTCATTACATTCTCTTCACAAAGATGACACAGTGGGTCTTCTGTAGTGTGGCACACGTAGCTGGCTATAGATCACATATGTAAGGCTTGTTACAAAGCAGCTAAGTATCCACTGTCAATACATTTCATCAAGACACTGTGATTCAGCTATTCTTGGCTGTCTTTTTAATCCATGAATTAATTCTTCCTAACCATTTCACTCCAAGTAAGGCAATAAAGCTACTAGCACGCAAAAGGTTGCCTAGTGTAAGAGAATATGAAAAACAGAAACGTATTATGGAGAGAGAATAATAATAATAAAAAAGAATTAGGAAGACTGAATATAACGATTAACATTGTATTTAAATTCTTAAAGATCTAAATTGAGTGGGAAGCAAGAAGCCGAAAAAGAGTTCCACAAAAGAGACGTGTGATAGAAGAAACTGTTAGCATAGAACTTACAGTTGCATCTATCAATTTCAGCTGTAATTTGATGAGATCTTACCAATAACCTAGTACTGTACTTATATTCAAAATATCTAGGTAACGTAGGGTAAAATTCATCAGAACACTTACCATAAAGGTATTTATAGAAAAGACACAGAGATGCTACATTAAGGAGCTCGAAAAGATACTGAAGCCGAGATGCTCGGTTAGGACCAATAACATTGCAGATTCTTCCTTTACCAATAATTTCTACATATATAGCAAGGGTACCAGACCATATGTGGCATCAATATTCAAAGCAAGGAAGAATGAAAGACTTTTTATATATGTCAGATAGATTATGCCGAGTAAAATTGTCTAGCACGACATATTGAACCAACTTTCTTAGCTGGAGATAGAGCAATTGATTCAATATAATCTTTTCAATTCATTTTAACTGAAATAGCTAGTCCGTTATGGCGTAATAAGTGACTCTTCTGGAGCTTAGCATCAGCAAAGCAGATGAGAGGTAAAAAGGTTCTTTCAGATTTTTAAATGAAATCAGTTTTGTTTTTGTTGCATTAAAATTAATAAACCAATCCTTGCTCCATTTAACAACAGATTGTAGGTCATTTTTGAGATCAGCTGCCAATTTGTCATTATCGACCTGAATGAACTTGTTATTAAGACAGCAGTAAATAGTTGCCATCAGCATAGATAAGAGCTAGGGAACTGATGTTACGAGGACAGTCCTTTATGGAAACTAGAAACAATGGCGGTCGGTTCAAGGAAAGAGAACTGTAGAATACCTGCACCTATGCAAAAAGATCTACAAGACTGGCCATTTCAGAGAATTTTCATTTCGCGATTTGATAAGAAAAAATGATTCAGTCTATAAATTCTTCCTGTAATGTAAGTATTTACCACTCACATGATATATTAAATGAAAGATGGAAGCACAGTGTAAACTACCTAACAATCGTGTGTTAATTGATTGTGGGACAGAGAGAGGGAAGGCTGGCGAAGTGTAAGAAATACTAAGAGCTACAAAAGATAGGAAGTTGTGGAAAGCCTTGACTGCTCTTATTCTGAAGTGATACTGGCTAAAGAAGAAGAAGAAGACGATTACGGAATAATCTATAATAACTCCAAGCAAATACATATATACATATAAAAAATATTGAAATGTCACAGGAACGAAAAGAATATACATTCAAACGTTCATCGCAGTAATTTAAAAGAGGTCTCGATACCAAGAGTAGAGCACAACTATATTTATCTATCTCAGTATATTCATTATCTATCTATCTATCTATCTATCTATCTATCTATCTGAGCATGTTCGTTATCTTTCTTACTCTGTTCATATTATTTATCTATCTCTGTCCATTTTATCTATCTATCTATCTATCTATCTATCTATCTATCTATCAATCTATCTATCTGTCTGTCTGCATGTTCATTATATTTCTTATTCTGTTCTATTTATTATTTATCTATGTATACAAAAATAATGAGAAAGTCCATTTTATTTATCTATCTATCTATCTATCTATCTATCTATCTATCTATCTATCAATATATCTATCTGTCTGTCTGTCTCTCTCTGTTCATTATATTTCTTATTCTGGTCATACTATTTATCTATCTATCTATCTATGTATACAAAAATAATGAGAAAGAAAATATAAATTCAAATGTTCATGGCATTAATTTAAAAGACAGATGAATACCAAGAGTAGCGCACTAGTATCTATCTATCTATCTATCTATCTATCTATCTATCTATAAATCATTATCTTTCATACTCTGTTCATACTAATTAACTCTCACTGTTCCTTATGTATCTATGTATTCAAATGTAATGAGAGCGAAAAGAATAAAAATTTAAACGTTTATAGCATTAATTTAAAAGAGGACTCGATACCAAGATAGAGCAACAGTTATGTATTAGTAACATGTTACATATGGACAAACAAGTTTTCATGAGAAAGATGTAATTTTGTTTCGATGCGTATGCATCTCGACAGGTGGGGAACAAAGATGGTTTTACTATCATTAATCCCCACCTGTCGAGAAGCATTCGCATCGAAAACCAAAACTCATCTTTGTCGTGAGCACTTGTTTGTCCGTATGTAAAAGCTTTAAAAAATATATATATATATATATATATATATATATATATATATATATATATATACGTTTATATATATATATATATATATAAATGAAAGTCAACATTAGAGGCGACAGTCTGTTTCATGCTATATGCAATCGTCAGGCCACGATTGCATATAGCATGAAAACAGACTGTCGCCTCTAAGTGTTGACTTCTATGTTCACTTTTATATTTACACACGCTCTATCTCTGATATTGAGCACTTTATTCCATAAATATAGCACACCTTAAGACTATATTTCTTTTTATATATATATATATATATATATATATATATATATATATATATATATATATATATATATATATATATATATATATATATATATATATATATATATATATATATATATATTGATTTATAATATTTTCTATTACGGATCGAACCTGTGGATAAGCTCCCCGCCGATTAAGCCTCTGGCATTATCAAGAGCTATATTTTTTGTGTCTACTTCTCCCGGGACATAGAAGATCATGCCTTGCCCCAAATTTTATCCTTTGTAATTATAAAACTTTTGTCTCCCTGCGATCCCTTCTAGTCTCTGTTCTAGCACCCAGTTGCAATGAGCAGGATGCAATCAGCAATTACTTTCTTAGGATTCTAATTGATATCTACGTAAGCAGATAATATAAACCTCTACTAACCGAACATTTCAGAAATTACCACTTCACCATACATAATCGTATATACATAGGTGAAATTCAAGTGTTTAGTATATACGTACATACGCTCTCAAATTCCAAACTGCCAACGAGCTCGCGTCAAATTGGGGACAGGTGGAATTAATTTTAAACTCGTTGATAGCTAGAGAGATGAAGACAATAGTTTGTTTTTTCTCCTTCAGCATATTAGGGTAAGAAAGATGAGGTAATAGGTTTCCAATCAGTTGGCTAATAAATGAGAGTATTTTTAGTTGACGTTCATCAATTGGAAAAAAATCCTATTGAAAATTCTACTCTTTTTTATTTTTCAAAGTGCTGAAGTACAACTTCATCACGTTTATTTACTACTGTTTCTGTAGTTAAAAAAAAAACAAGAGTTTGCGAGATGAACAATCGCATTTTGTGCAAGTTAATGATGCTTGCAATCCTCGGAAGCTAGATTTTTCATACATGTCTCATTCAACTTGGAGACTCTGAGTAAGAGGGATTTTTATTTATTTTTTCTATCTTACATTCAATGTCTATCGTTAACTAAATATTATTAGATATAAAAATCCCAAACTTTACATATGTTCTGAATTATTTGGCTTTCGGTTATTCTCTTAGCTATTATAGAAGATGTTTGTTTTTTATTCTGTTTATAACTATATATACAGTTTCATTAAAGATGGCTAATGACGTACCTCCATTAGGCTTTTTAATAATTTTTTCCTCTGTTCTTATAATTGTTCTTTTCTGGCCATAAATGTGTAAAAAAATATTCCAAGTGTTCTATCTATATATATATATTTATATATATATACGAAACTTTTCGATTATTCTATTAGCCATTACCCATTTAAAAAAAAAATAACAGAATAACAGAATATGTGTATCTACAGTGATGGGAATGCTTATTTTAATTTTTTAAACGCGGTCAGTATGTTGTGGTCGAGTTCATAATTGCCATTACTCAGTATTGAGTGATGGACTAAATATATATATATATATATATATATATATATATATATATATATATATATATATATATATATATATATATATATATATGTGTGTGTGTATATATATATATGAGAATCATATCATATGAGAATCCCTTTAAGACAATCCAAATTAATTTTATGAAAAAAAGTAAATAAAAATGCAAATATATTGTGGTGTATCTTATGTATGCCCTAAAAATAACAGACAAGATGGCACGTCATCATATAAGGAAGCCAGTATCGACAGGCAGAAATTACAAACCCACTATAACACTTAGCCTATATTTACAATTTTCCATGTTAAATTAGTCTTGTGTCCTGATTCGTCAAATATGGCAACACGCTTTTAAAATTTTGTAATCCCTCCTCACTAAAACTTAACTATATAATAATATTTAGCTTAAAAAAGTAAATCATTCTTTTTCGAATGGTATCCATCATCACTTGAGAATGGTACAAAAACTTTAATTTCATGTTTTTATTTCCGAAACATCGTAAATTCTGTGTGGCGATAAATATATTTTCAAATAATAATATTATGATATTATGCTCTATTGTGTATCGGGCACTGGTTTTAAAAATAAATGCTAAAAAATGTGGATAGTAAATTTGACGGTTCTTTCTTTTTATTTTGGCAGCATGTTTTCAATGAGACATATCTCATTAAAGAATTTAGACAAGTTTTGTCTACATATTCATAACAGGATCCTCTCATATTTACAGACGGGTTTCTTAATATCCTTACTTTAGGAAGAAAGAAAATTAACATGTTGATGTATATCTATTTTATTTCTGAGTCTTGTCGATGTTAGCACAATGTTATCTTCAGGGCCATGTTTTTGTTCATGTCTTGCTTTTGTTTAACGGATTTTTTTTAAATTGTGATGTGAAAAGCGCTAAACTTATGCACTGCACAATTTTGAAAATTTTATGATGTAAACATATACGTACAGTAACGTCCAGGTAGGTAACAAAGTTATATATAATATCTAATTATTTAAAAAAAAAAAAACTATTTAAAGCTAGTATCTATAAAATAAATGTTTTAAATTCTCTACTCTAAATATTTTAAAATCTTTGTGCGTTATTCAGAATTAATTTTATTAAGTGTTAGTTTCAATTTTTTAATATAGGTAACTTCAAGAATGTTTAGTTTATATTTATTAATTTCCTGTAAAAAGTATAGATGTATTTTCAACGAGAATTTTGCTGAATTAAGAATGTGGACAGACATACCGTTGTAAATGTCAAGAGATGTTAGATGCATCATTCATATGATAACTAAACTTATTAATAGTGGTGTACCCAGTATATATATATATATATATATATATATATATATATATATATATATATATATATATATATATTATTTATAGCCAACTGACTAACAGTTCTGGTTCTGCTATTGCTGAACATTTAATAAATAGAAGGGAATATGTGGAAAATTTTAGTGGTGACCGATTTATAATTTTATCTAGGTCCTACTCCACATTTCATCTCAAGGTCCTGGAGTCCTTGTATATCAGATCTCGTGAGACTTCCCTTTATAAACAGAGGGAATGCTTGCTGGGGCTGAATATTATTGGACTCTAGTCTCTTGAAATTCATATTTTTTTTTCACCCATTTAATTGCATTCGTTAATTAAAATTAATTTACACGCTTTTAAATTCCCAGAATAAATAACTTGATAAGTCCTGGGACGAAACCGGTTGTTTTTATTTTAGCCTTTGCTTTTAAAAATGCCTCCTTATTATCTTTTCCTATCTATTATTAAATTCTGTACCACGAAAAACTTATTTAAATATTATTTTTCTTTTGGAGATATTATCTCTCAAGGAACATTTAAATTTATATAAAATATCTGATAACTGTGACGTCGTCCCCTGGTCTACCACGGCACCAAATGTGACGTCCTCGCCGCTGCGCCAGCTGATCGCTCCTCGCTGCTCCGTTCGGGTGTCGCTGCTCCAAACGTGACGTCCGCCTGTCGCGTCAGTCGTGTTGTCTCGTCCTGTGACGACCAACTGGCTTGGTATCGGTCGCGGCACCCAAATGTGACGTTCTAACCTTTTGGTGATTCGGATGGGATCTGGTTAGATTTGATATCAGCCTCGTCGTTCCCAACTCGCTTCCAACGCCTGGTTACCAAAGTAACTGCATTGATCTCCAGTCTGCCTACCCACGTTGTGAATTGATCTTAGGCAGACGAGATCAATCAGTAGTTGGGGCCGTAATGCAAATCGGGTTCAACGGGGGTAACACCACACAAATATGCATAAAAGAAAAGAAAATGCGAGGCGGAACCAACTTAACTTGAACTGAAACTGCAACTCCACTGAAACTGATTTCTGCTCGCTGCGACTTCGCTTATATGGACGCCGACCAAAGCCGGGGTGTGTTTTTCGGCGTCGGGGGTTCCTCGATAATTCTAAATACATATCCACCTATTTTATTTCTGGTTTGGAATTTTCCACTCTTTTCCATTTTTGGGAGCCTTTTCTTACTCCCACCTTCTCACCATACTTCAGAGGGGCGTGAGCTGCCCTCCCCACTTCTTCGTAGCAGCTTCTCATACCTATCCTCTGGATGGGCGGCGACAGCCTCCTTCGTGCGTCACGTGATCACCACTCGACCAATGGTATCTTAGTCGGGCGTGGACGAATCCGAGGCTTTGTTTCAGGAAAAAAAAATAATCTTTTCTTTTCCTTTTCTTCCTCTTAATCGCAGTTATCATTTTCTCTAGCCGCAAACAGGACAATACGAACGACGGTGGTCATAACTCTTGTTCTTCAACTGGGCTTCGTCAGTCATCTTATCGCTAATTCTCAGAATGGGTGGTCTTTTTAACAGGGCCAGACGTCGCCCCGAAAAGAAACATTTCTAAGTTCCCATTCATTTCCTTTCGGTACATATTTCTGATAAGATAATTTTATTATCGCAGGCTAAAGATGTTCCGTCGAAA